GGAACCCAGTCAAGACTTGTATATGTGTACCTCCACCCCTTCAATGCAGGTTAAATTCTATCACATTATTCACAACTTGTCTTTTATGGTGTCTGTATCAGCTATCTCTTAGACAGGGTTCCCACGGATTTACCTATTTCCTTGGGGGTTCACACTAAATTGCCGTCAGCTGAGCGTGCACGAAAGTTAATTACCCCCTTACAGCTTTTAGTAGGCGTGACTCCCCATGGAGATAGATGGATCGAAAATCTGTGGGAATGCAGTCTTAGGCACCGTTCACATGAAAAATCCAAAAATCCATTGGAGTCATCTAGTGATCACGGTCTTTGCCCTGAATACTCTGCGGCGTAATTAACTAGCAGCGTGAGCGAGTTACTTCCAAAGCTGTAATGAATTCTTGCTCTGGTAGTTAATTATGCAGCAGGGTATTCAGGTCACAGACCATGATCACTAGATACCGCCAATGGATTTTTGGAATTTGGATTTCTCATGTGAACAGTGCCTAAATGTTATTCTCGTAAATTTAGCTTGCCACAAACTAAGGTCGCATTTAGGACAGATGATCCACGGATTAAATGATTCGCAGACTACATATGGCCAATCGCACTTAAGAGGAAGCCGCTTAATCCCCTGATGGTCTCTCTGACTCCACACGCCATTTTAAATCTCGGCTCTGAGGTTTAATTATAAGGCTTTTTCAGGGATGGCGCATAGAGAGGTGGTGAGACCATCGGTGAATTAGTTGGCATTGCTTTTAAGTGGGTCGGCCATATTTGATCTGCAGATCTGTTAGTCTGCAAATCAACTTGTTCTGAATGCGCTCTAAACAGACTATTATGGGACAGCAAAGACTAATTGAATGTTACAAGGATTTTCCTATATTATCACAGACCTCCAGTCTCTTGGGTCATTTTAATACATACACAATTTCAGCCTGTATTACATGTACTAATTTTGCAACTACTAGTACTTATATTTTGTGGGTAAAGGTCAACTTTTTTTCTTCCTTTTTGCCACAAAGAAAAAATATCTTTACCATCTGATGAAAATTTGATATCCTTGTGTGAGCTGTAAGCTTTTTGACCACAATTACTAAATATAAAATCTCCTGACCTTTGGGGTAAAACTGCATAACCTAGATTATACACTTTTCACTCAAAATGGGCCTTAAATAAGATGTAAAAAGAATTTTTCACATATCAACCTTCTACTGTAACTGTGCATTTGAAAAAGTCATCATAGTTTCATCAACCCACTGTAAGAGGTTATATAGAAAGCACAATACAGGCTAGCGCACTGCTAAATATTTGGAGAAAACAACTCTTGTTATTCTGTCTTACTTTCATTCATTTATTTTCAATTATATGCTTCCACTATTACTAATAACTGCCAAGTAGTGAATGCCATATAGTGAATATATAAATGCCTGACAGGTTTTCAAAAGGCAGTTAAAGGATTTTTATTTGAGGCAATTAAAGTTGATATCTAATAATTTATCTAACATACCTGGATACCCTGGTGAACAGCTAATGATACTCAAGTCATAAAGACTAGTTGGCCTGTTAACAAGTGAACTAAGGGACTGACAGGAAAATTGCTCAATGTACCTGCGGGGACAAGCTTTCACATCATTGGTATTATATAATGATATCAAGATATCTGAGAAGAAAAATGACTCACGTTAAACAGCAGCTTGAACGGGTGTCGGGATTGTTTCAACAGTTGCACATTCTAAGTTTCTGGTAGCAAGAATGTTTTCCATGTCTGCATATCCTGCAAAGCTACTTATCTTTCCCAATTCAGGCTATAAAAACTGTAAAATCCCTCAAATTGAAGTCCCTGACTTTAATAATTCCTTCTGAAATTTACCTGAAGACATTATGTTCTACTGGCCAGTCATCTAGAACTAAATCATTGAATTAAAAATCCAAGAACAGTACAAGTAACGGGTCAAGCAATGTACATAAGAAGGAGGAGAATTTATTTTGGCAGGCAAATCCCATATGGAGTATCTTTAACCTGAAATACTATGATATAGGGATATAGGGGTAGGCCTTTATTTTACTGAACCATCATTTCAAGTAGAACATGTGTAAACAGCCCTTCAGACAGACTGTAATAGCAAGGTTAACCAACCATGACTGTATAACAGCAATCTATTCCTGATGACTGCTTAGTGTACTGCCTGGGTCAAGGCCACTCAAAAAGAAAGTACTGCACAGCGCTGGTGAAGGACAAAGTTAGAATCCATCCTTGGACACATTTTACATATTGCTTCCATTAAGTAAGTCTTTACTGTGAGACAAAAAATGTAATGGTCTCTGGTCTAGTATACATCTATAGTTGTCATCTAAATGATTAGTATAACATTATTATTTATTTCTTCCTTTCTGTGAAAACAAGTCCAATATCCTGCATTCAAGAGGACCACTACTGATTAAACATGGGTAAAAGTACAAACTTTTTGGTAGTTTTGACATTTTTCCTCTTACTGTTTTACTTAAAACAGGATCTTGGTTTCTACAAAACAAACATTTATTTTAACTACCATGTCTGCGGAAATCTTTTGCCCCCTTTTTATAAATATGATTTTGTGTCTGTTCATGTGTGTGTGTGTGGGTGTGTGGGTGTGTGTGTGTGTGTGTGTGGGGGGGGGGGTACCATACAGTTATAGGTTTCTTTTATTTGACAAGAAAAACATTTTCCTCAACATTTTAATACAACAGACAGAATGAGGAACCATTAAGAGATCTACAATACATTTCCATCAAAAGGGCACCTTAAAAACAAAACAGGACATTTTAAATGCAATACATCCTTCTAGGAAACTGGTGACTTCTCTTTATGAGAAAATGCCACTGGCATTTCCGTCCATGTGCACAGCAACCAAAAAAGTTCCAAAATCCTCAAACTAAATCCTGTTTTATTACATTGAAAAAGCCAAAATATGCCTTGGGCACCAGAATAAGTGGTAGATCTATCTTCAAGTGCACTGACAAAAATCAATATATTATAAATTTAGAACGATGAAGACTCCTGTATATGTTTACAAGTTGATATAATCCTAAATACCAAAAGAAGATCAGCTCTTTGTTATCAAGCAACATTTGAAACAGGTGTACCTTTGTTTTCTCCTTACATCGATTTCTTTTATATCAGACTAAATTCATTTTTGTTACTCAATTATTAATAAATCATGATTGGGCAGTTGGGATTTGGGCTAGAACAAACATCAAAACAAACAATACTGCACTCTTCAACAAGCTTGTGTATAACTTATTACTCTGTATACCTGCACTGTCAATATACTGTGTATATACATTTGAGACTGCTTTTCTTTTTCTTTCTTTTTTTTTCAATTTCCCCTTAAATAAAAATGAGAAACCAAGTGCACCTTTCATAACAATCCTTTGAAAAAGTGACCTAACGGAGATCCACTTGAACAGGGTAGTCGTGCTTCCATGACCTATTTCATTTAAAACTTTGTTATGAACATAATACACTGACCTTACTAACCCAGCAATATCTCTAAACCACAAAGATGGGACTGTGATGCGATAGCTAAGCAAGATTACTAGTAAGTAAATTCTATTAAGTCTGGCTTGCTCCCTTGGTATGAGGGTAACTTATGGTGATTGCTCCGGAAATTTTTTAATAGTTCACTCATTCCTGTATTTTCAGTTTCCAGAATTGTTTAATTTTAGTTACTCACAAAAAATTAACATTCTGGCTTGAAGCCAAGCCACTTTTCAAAAGTTTGGGATTTTTGCTAACATAACAACTGTTTTTAAAAATGCTACTACCGTAGTAAATTTTGTTTAAATTTTATAATTACCATAATCAATGCTCACAGTCAACTAGTAAACAGAGATATGACAAGCCTTATCCTGTCTAGACTAGTTAAGTTCACACAGGCTGTGTTCACATCAGAATTATTTTTGCCCTAAAACATATCAAATGGCTTCACCAAATGACCAGAATACATGGGAATCCCACTGTATCTCAGAGTGCTGAATACCATCTTTGTCAGTCAAGTAACCTGTTGACATCTAGTTTCTTTATGAATGCCCTAAGGTTCTGAATAAAATGTTTGTCACATTGGTAAAAGTACACCTTTTAAAATGGCTGTTGGCAATATTATGGAAAGTTGAGTATATTATATGATCTAAACATTAGTATTTCCAACATCAATACTTATCTAAGATTTATTCAAAAAATAAATAAATAAACCCTATATTGCTACATGATTCTAAAATCCACCTGAAACCTCCTTGCTATTCAGTCATTTGAAATAAATCTGGGTTTTCTTTTATTTGGATGGTACATTCTTGCATTTGCAAATGTCACAGTTAAGTGTTTTACGTCAAAATAGCCTGAAAAGTTACTTTTCTTTCTCAATATAGATCCTAAAAACAATAAATACCTCAAGTAAAAACATCTGATATCTTTATATCCTGCTAAAATGTCTGGAAGACATAAAGGCCTAAATGAATTGTGATTCCTTTAAAAGTAAGAAAACCTTGATTCTGAATGCTGGGTTGAGCAATGATTTGTGAGTAAGATACGTCTAAATTTACTGCTTTTTTGTCAAGGAAAATTAGATTTGCCAATGAAAATCCCATTGAGCATTCCTTAAACTAGAAAATGATCTTCAACTGTCAATACAGCTTTAAGTGACTAGTCAGAACCAACCATTCCTCCTCTTCCTTTTTTAAGTCATGCGATGTTGCTTTTTGTAGGGCAGTTTGTTAACACCTTTCCACTCACTGTAAAAGTACATTGCCTAGTTCATTAATTCTGTAAAACCATCAAATTCATCAATGAAACAGATTCAAGCATTCACAGTTTTCACTTTTCTTTCTTTAGATATGATCAGCACCCTCAGCAAAAAGAGAAAACATAAACAGGTGAGCTAGAGTCTACTGAAAGAGAACTTGGGACTAATGTTGAGCCAACTTAAGGTGGTCATTATATCACATGGGAAATTGGTATCAACTCACCTGGATATATTCTCCTAGTAACCTTACTAGATCTCCCAAGTGTTTACTTAGCACCTCTCTCTGTTCAAATGTAAACACGGGATGATTTACAGCTACTGTCAACATTAATAAGAGTTCGTTGGCGATCTCTTCGTCCATTGAAAGTTTCGGAATCGCCGATTCCACGCACGTCGACAAAATGTCAAAGAGTACATTGGAACATTGAATATTTGTGGAATACAGGAGAGCCAGATAAACATTAATCCTACTGCGTACAGTTTCGTCTGTCAGATCTCTCAACTTGTCAATTTCTGACACACTATTTGCTTGGTTTTCTGCTTCACGTAGAAACACAAAATTTCTTTTCGCAAGATTTTCAACACACGATCCAACAAACCTCAACTCTAAGGGGAGACACATATGAAGAAGACTTGCCAAAACCTCTATCCTTTTTGGTGCCTTTAGTTTGGTAAACCATGCAAAGACATCCTCTTTGCACACCATGGTGCAACGACGTTTCCTTAACCTTTCGCTGCTTTCAAGAATATTTTCGACAGATTTTATCCTTCGGTCGCCATACAATCTCTAGGTCAGACATCCGGGGAATTGGAAGATGAAAGTTTACGGGCTGCAAATTATCTATAATATGATTGGATCATTTCTAGTTCAAGTGACTGAAATGCCATACATATCAATAAAAATAAAACATATTTGTGTTTTTTATGAGAGGTGCTGATAAATTATTTTATCAAAATACCATAAGAATATATCTTTATTTATTGTTTATCCCATTTTTATTCAATACTTGTTAAGAAATCATTATTTAGCAGTTATTATGTTTATTTTACTTGGTATATAAGGGAATAATTACTACCAATAAAAAGCCACAAAATAAAAACAATCTGCCCGTATTAAAAGAGCATGGCAGCCCCCATAAGAACAGCACATCGTACTTAAAACATTTACTGTAAGCTTTTCTCTGTTAAAGAAAGTCTGACAAAATGGGGAAAAAACAGAAAAAGGAAAAGAAAGGAAAAGGTGCTGAAAAAACAGCCAAAAAGACTGATAAGAAGATGGAAAAGAAAGTAAAGAAAGCATTGGCGGAGGCGGGAGAGGTGAGCAAAATGGGGAAAAACGGCATGACTATCTCATCGTTTTGAGCTACTTCTACAGAGCTGTGTTTATTTCACGGCTGGATGTTATAGATTCCGATCGTTGTATGGGATTCTTCCTTCTTACGTTATAGTTTTCAATATAGCTTTTTGTACCACCTTGTGTACTAATTAGTGAGTAAACCAAATATGAAATACAATAGAGGCTGATTCATTGAGTTCCTTTCATATTGAACTAGAAAAATTAGTTTGAGATACACCTTTCATTCAGCTTACCACAATACTGCCTATATACATTTGTTATGGGATGAGTTTGCAGAAATTTGACTCACTTTACCTGTAGTTGTACACTATAACTTAACCTTGTGAAGATGAGTGTATAAGAACTATTGTTATTTGAAGGTCATGACTTGCTTATCTTTTGTATGAAAAATTATCTACTAGCATGTCACTGTCATACTGAATGGAAATACAGAATTGTCTTGCATATTAAAATATTGTCTAATGCTTTCTTTGATAAATACACCACTCAAGGTCCAGATTAATCACTTGTGTTGTAATGAGTTTTTTTTTTCTTTTGTAACAGGAAGATATTGAAGCACTAATTGCTGAGTTTCAATCAAAAGATAAAAAAAGATTGCAAGTTGTAGAGGAAAAATGTGATCCACCATCTCCCAGGTAAAATGGAATTACCATATGAAAAATATAAAATATATTGGAAACATTAAACTAATCAAGATGTCATTATGTATCAGATAATTCCATTTGTCTTTGGTACAGAATATGATACTCTGTCAAATTTACGCAGTAATAACATTGGAATATTATCACAGTGAACATTGTCAAAAGAGATGTCCTATTTTACCAGACGTTATATACACATTTCTCTGTTGTGGTAACTAGTTTTGTCTCATTGCACACTGTCGCATCTAACACAATATACTGCTTGAACCAATAGTTGGATATTTTAGTATAACCAGTACAATAAAATGTCACATGAATCGCTGTCTGCTGTTCCACCTTAAACATTTCATACCTTTGCCTTTTAGATATTACTACACTCATCAAAACATACACACTAACATATACATACACACACAGTAATGCGCATATACATGCACACACACGCTTGGATGTGTATACATCTAAAATGTCTATACGAAGTAACAATAATTATTGTTATTCCTGTATTATTTGGTGGCTTCAGATGCAACATGACTTTGACACCACATCCAGACAGAGAAGAGCTGATTATGTTTGGGGGAGAATACTTCAATGGCAGTAAGGTGAGAATCCCCATATGTTGAATAAAACAGGTTGACAGTACATGTTGTTGTTCAGAAAGGTCCAACATCATCTTTTTAAACTTAAAGTAGGTTGCAAATGTCTACAGATGAAACAATTGTGCAATTAGTAAGTTTTTTTTTAGATTGATTTCTATTCAAAAGTCATGTAATATTTTCCTAAATCAAAAAGCATTCCTCAAAGGAACAAATAATTGCATATACTTACATGTTTGTTATTGACAGTTGTATTTGTCTTGGGAGAATCTGATACTATTTTTATGATTTTTTTCTTTCTATTTCAGACTTTCATGTACAATGAACTGTATTTCTACAATATAAAAAAGAATGAATGGCTGAAAGTGACAGCTCCTAATGCCCCGCCTCCAAGGTGTTCACATCAGGTGAGATAAAAGCTCTCATTCCCCTCCCATTTTTATTCAAATCGAGACATTTAGACTGCCATGTCTTTAAGAACACTTCAGAGGGAAGTATCGGCATCAGGTACTTTTTATTTCAGGTGTCTTATCACGTTAAATGGCTGGAAACTGGGAAAATTTAAATAGCTTTGCAGAATATGTAGACACAAAAAATATGTTTTAGGATATTTTCAGATATGGACAATAGAAGTACGTTGAAGTAGGTGTGCAATGCAAAATAAAGTAGAATGTGGTAGATGAGACAAAAATTGTGTTTTGTTCCCATCCAGGCAGTCGCACTGAAACAGGGTGGAGGGCAGCTTTGGTTATTTGGTGGAGAGTTTGCCAGTCCAACACAGTCCCAGTTCTATCACTACAAAGACCTGTGGGTTTATCATCTACAAGAGAAAAAATGGGAGAAGGTGAAGTGAGTGTTATGTCCATTGATTATCTTTAGTTATTTGCATGTTATGTAATATATACAAAAGTAGAAAGTACGTAGATTCTATTTTTTTATACCAAGTTAGGTGGTTTACAATAATTTATGGGTCAAAGTAAAAAATCATTCATTGTATGTTAAAAATACATATAAGGTTGATTATTATTTGCTTTAAAATAAAAGTAAAATTAAAACATAAGTGTTGACCATTTGAAGTGCTCCAGGTGGACCCAGTTCTAGAAGTGGACATAGAATGACTTCCTTGAAGAAACTTCTGATAGTCTTTGGAGGTTTTCATGATAATATCCGGTAAATAACTGTTGAGCAATTAGGAGTGTTTAGTTAATAAGAAGTTTGGGTTGTGATGATAAAAACATGAATGCAAAGTTGTCTTTGTAACAGTTGAAAATGTAAATGGGGGACAGTATTGCATTACTGATTCCCTTGACTCACACCAGCTTAAATATTTTTTAACAAAATGGTTAGAATTTTTATGCAGAATGTTAATTTCTAGTTATAAACAAATTTATCATTCATTAGATATGAAATGAGAAATTTGGCTAACCCAAATATGCTAGCTTGATATCTGTTTGTTTTGATTTTTTACGATTGATTTTTTTATTGCAGTGTTGATTTTCATAATTTTCATTAGAAATTTGGTAACCAAAATAAAAACTGAAAAGCTAGATAATTGAACATTGCTGTGATTAAGGAATAGGCTGATTTTGATAAAGCAACTGGCTTCCCTCACTTAAATGATAGAATTCAGTTATATTATGATTGTAATCCCTTGTTAATTTGACTTATTTTATGACACAAATTGTGGTTTTAGGGATTACAAGTACTTCAATGATGCATATGCTTTCAACCTGGAGACTTATACATGGATGAAAGTGGAGGCCTCTGGGATACCTCCTGCTCCAAGATCTGGCTGCCAGATGGCAGCACTGGCTGAGCAGAACAGATTGTTGATATATGGAGGATACAGCAAAGAAAAAGTCAAAAGGGAGGTGGATAAAGGAACTATACACAGTGATATGTTTTATTTAGTAGCTGAAGGTGAGAATTTCCTTATTTTTCAGACTTTTCCTTTAATACTGGCTTGTATGTGCTTGAATGATTTTTATCATTGTATTTATTAAAAGCTCTCATACCATTTACTGTTTGAAATGTGCATTGGTACTAAATATTAGGTATGAGTTCATTAGCTTTAGTACAGCAACTTTTCTCAAACTTAGTTGCCATGTGAAAGTAAATAGCTGCACATTTAATGTTTGTATTTTCAGTTGCTTTCAACATAAAATAAACCATATTGTATTGTATTCTATTCTTTTGTAGTCATTCTATTTCAACAGGTATTTGAATGAAAAGTAACATTGGTTTTCTATTCCCAGACAAAAAGAAAGATGACCTGTCCACAGTGAAGTGGAAATGGCAGTCAGTCAAGCAGTCTGGTGCTCGTCCTAGTCCTAGATGTGGGTTCTCATTGACACCCATTGGAAATAATAAGGCTATTACTTTTGGTGGGGTTTATGATGAGGTACAAGCAAGTTCTAGTTAGTTTTAAGTTTTATAATGCACGTATGATATTGCTTTATTTAGATACCCTCTTACACAGGGCTTGCACTTGGAGAACTAAATTTTTGCACACTCTTACCCCATTCAAAGTTGTATCTTTAACAATATTTGATAGTTAACATCGGTTTATACATCAGTATAAATAAACTATAAATACTACTTTTTTAAAGAGTTGACCAAAATCTGTTCTCCAAGAAGTCACAAGCCCAGTGACACAAGTGCTTGAGTACAAGAAGCCCAAAAGAAATGATGCTTTTACATGGTTATACGTATGAACTAATTTTGCTTTGTTTGTTTTGTTTTCCAATGCCATTCTGTTTCCATAACAAGACTTTCATTTTGTTGTTTTTATCAGGAGGACTCTGAAGAAGAAATCAAAGGAGTTTTCTACAATGAGATGTACACATTGGAGTTAGACACAGGGAAGTGGTATGATCTGGTGCTAAGGTAATGGATCCAACCACTTATACCATCAATTTAGATAGAAAACATCTTATATTTTGTACCAAGACTTATGTAACCACTAAATTTTCCTAATTGAAGAATTTGAAGAAATTATATTAAGTGTGTGTGTGCGTATGTGTGTTCACGTGCGTGCACATGTGCATCCATTGTGCAACCTATGCTTAAAATTTTTGATTAGAGGAAGGAATGATATATAGTTGATATATTGTATTTTAGGGGTAAGAAAGTAATCACAGAGAAAAAGAAAAGGAGGAGAAAAGATAAGAAAACTCAGGATGGAGAGAATGAGGAGGGAGACTGTGATGAGGAGGGAGAGGAGGAGGATATGGATGTTGAGGAGGAAGTCAAGAATTTGAAGATAGGTAGGAGCAGCATTGTTTTGGAGAATAAGATTTTGCTACAGATCCACTATGATATATTTTTCTTTCATATAATGCAACAGTGTGTGTGCATGCTTGTGCATGTGCAGGTTAGATGAAAAATGTTTAAGGCAACACTTTTTAGGTAATCAAAATTTATTTGGGAAAATTAAGGTTTAGGTCCAAGAACAATAATGCATTGACAAACTTGTTGCATATATATATATATATATATATATTCTGTAGCTGGCAAAAGAGGGAGTTAGGTACAGAAAAATGTAAATATATTACGGTNAGTTAGTCTTTTCCGATTCAATGGCAAAGAAGTTATAGAGGGCATAGGTTTTGTTTCCCGTCACATCTTCCATGTCCACACGTAGCTCATAACGTCGATCATTGGTCATAAGGTATACGAGGTCATTCCCTACAACACAAACACGACATTGATAACAATTTGGATAAATAATTGAGCTGACATAATATATATATATATATATATATATATATATATATATATATATATATATATATATATATTCTGTAGCTGGCAAAAGAAAAGAGGGAGTTAGGTACAGAAAAATGTAAATATATTACGGTACATGCAAATTGATGTGTTATATGGAATAATCAACTTATTGCTAACACATTGAAGAAGGTATATTGAACAGACTTATGTTTTGCAGAAGGCAATAAAACAGATTCAACAGAAAGCTCATCATCACCCCAAAATGAAGAAACTACATTCGATGATGGAGTTTTCAAAGTAACAGTGGGACCACAGACAACATGTCAGTCAGGGGATGGCACGGGTGACAGTGGCTCCACCTGCATGGAAGCAGACATCTTTATGCCGAGGCCCAGGATGAATGCCATGGTAACAGTTAAAAACAACCAGTTGTTTTTGTATGGAGGTTTATATGAGGAAGGAGATAAGCAGATCACTCTGGATGATATGTATTCACTGGATGTACAAAAAGTGGAAGAATGGAACATTATATGTAAAGGCAATGTTGACAGCCAGGTGAGAAGGCTTAATAGCGTGTTAACATACAAGTTTCATCAACCTTTCTTGTAAAAGTTGATGATGTGTAGCCCCTCTTTGTGTGCCATCTGATGAAGCAGAGTTCCATATTAAGGAAACTTGTTAAAAGTTTACTGATTCTGAAGATTTGAGACATATTCTTTGAAATGAAAATATTTTGAGTTGTATTAAGGTTGATGCTGTGTAAGCTTATAAGGGACATTCAGTGATAACTGATTTGTAATTATTGATATGAAAATGTATATATATTGAACAATTGTAGGAATGGCAGGAGTCCGATTCCTCATCAGATGAAGAAGAAGATGAAGACATGGTGTCAGAGGGCACTGAAGAAGGTGAGCCACTGTCACTTCTGCTGACATTCTGTCATTTTAATGACTTTTTAAAAGACCGTTTTAAAAACTCGCACAATGTCACACCTATCGCAATGTCAAACTTTTCACAACTGTATTATGTCACATTTCACTCTCGTAGTTGAAAAAAATCAATAATCAGACAAAGATGTAGATCATACAGGATAACATCCCTAAAATTTGCTTTAAAAATGCATTTGATTTTATTTGCTAACTTTATAAAACAGTAAATTTTCTTAAGAGACTAACATGTCTCCTGTCTGTGTGGCATGAATTCAGAAACAACTTGACATGAATATATATTTACAGATTTATTTACAGATTTGGATCTTGAAGATGCTCCTGAAATTGAGGAAGAGGAAGAGTTAAAAGACTATTTTCTAAGAACCAGAGAATTCTGGCTGGAGACTGTTAGTGACATGTTAGCTGATGAGGCAGAAGAAATGTCTTCTGGAAAGATGCGTCAAAAGGCAGAGGAGATAGCCGAGTTGTATTATAAAAGTAACACATGATACAAGGTATTGTGAATGAAGAAATTCTGAAATTTTACTGCAATGTCAAATGTGTACAGGGCAGTTGGAAAATGTGAAAATGTATGTTTACAGGACAATTGTATGATTGGAAAAATTTGGTAATTTCCACTCTTTCAAAAAATCAGTACTTTGAGATGCCTTGGCCTTGACACTTGTGCTTTAGCTTCCAAGCTGTTTTCCTTTCCAAATGGCCATTCAAACATTGCCATGTATGTCATCCAAACAAAATGGCACTTTCGGGTATTTTTGGGTTGATATATGATATTTAAGGATACAAGGTTACTGGAGTTCTGTTTTTATCTGTATAAATGGTATGTACATAGTAACATAGTGTATTGCTTTAAAAGAGGAACTCTTGTTTTGTAACAGTTACAGTTTGTCTGTTGAAGTCTAAATTAGAAACCAACCATTTCCCCTTACACTTTTTTCTGCTCTTATGGTCTTCATTATTATTATTTTTTACTCCTTTGCCAATTCAGTTGTTAATGTAGATTTAAACAAATCTCATATTTGTTCAAATTCCTGTGAAATCATTGCCCCATCAGAAATAAAGATAAAAGAAATTTTCTCTCCTCCATGTAGTTGTTTTGTTATGTGAAATGATGAAAAACTGTCTAAATCATGCAATAATTTTATCTATACTAATTTTTCAAGCTTTTTGTAGCTATCAAATGTAATTGTTGAACAGTTAAGTCAAATTCACTTAAAGCCCTCAGCCAAAGGAATCTATCTGATGCAGAATTTTTGATACATTAAATTACTACTTTCACCATTTTTACCACTATAAGTTAAGCAAAGGATGAGTATAATAGTGAAAATTTTGCAGATAGATAGCAGCACAATCTGCCTTCAGGAAAAAAGTCTACAGTGTTCATGGTGCCCTGAGAGTGAACACTTGTTGAAGTCTTGACTCATCTCTCCAGTATATCAGACTCCAGGTGAAATGGTACATATTTCATCTATCTGCCATAATTATGAAGAGAATGTCAGACCTTTTTCTGTATGCAACTCAAAACAACTGCAATAATTAACAAAAATCCTACCATCCTGCTTGCCTGGTTTTACCTGGTATTTCCACTCTGTACTAAATGCCTCCAGTCAACCCTTTTTTAAGTTTTTGAAATGTGTAAGAAAGCATCACTGAAAAGATTTCTTTTTGGACTGAGATGCTATGTAAGACTTGCAACAAGGTAACTATAGGTGTCATATTTTAAAGATAAATTCATTATTTGTCTACTTAAAATAAAAGATGTTTTATACTTTAACTATTACATAAAGAGTTAAGTAAGAAATCTGTAAAATGCCAAAAGCAAAAATTTTGCAATTGCAGTTAGGGTTTTGTTAAAAAATTGTGATATATTGCTATACTTTTTCATCAGAATTCTTGTACTTGTACTAAGTTTTGTGGTTCTACTTTCCATTACCTAGAACAAGAGCGCAGATCCTCAACAATGAAAAAGTCAAGAAAAAAATTTTCACTTGATTAGAATTTCATAATTCATTTGAAGTGGGAGTAGATTCCTGAATTGTTGCCTATCCTGAAATTTCATCAAACTTTGCGAAGGTCTATTTTTGATAAATCCTTTCCTGTAACAAAGAGACAAACAAAAATTAAAACATAATTTCCTTCATTGGTGGCAGTAATAACTGATGTACTGCTGAATCTTAAGATATTTCTGAAACAGAGCACCTCATTTTTTCACATCCTCACAAAATTTCTCCTTTGCCTGAAGGGCATTCAGGGTAGCAAACAGACAAACCAACATCGATAAAAAAAATAACCTCCTTCGTAAGCGGAGATAATGACTGAAGTATTGCTGAACATATAGGATGTTTCTGCAACAGAGCATCCTTCTCTTCTATCATCCTCTCAGTTTTTCTCCTCTGTATGAAGGGCATCCAGGATAACCACCTTGCAGGTGTGATTTATCTCTCAGCTGTTGAGGTATGACACGTAAATTGATAAACAACATGTGGTGGTGCGTACAAGTAACTGGTTGAAAAATTGCAAAAGTAATTTCATTTTAGTTGTTAGGTTTTTGTGGTGAAGTGCTGCATTAGGAGGAAAAAAACCTGGCAGAAATTGATGAAATATGCTTAGGAAAATGTATACTAATTTTTAAAAAATTGTGCACATGTACACATGCATGCGCATGTGCCTGGAGGCACGTTGGGTCACAGGTACTTGGAGATGACAGCAGAATTTTCATGTGTATGAACAGATTCTTTACATGTTTGGCTATCTATTTCATTTCATGTTTAGTTGGGAAATTGTTTTATGTATAGCTCCAACAATAGTTTAACCCAAAGCATATATACTCAGTAGTTGCCATCATTTATACTACATGTAAACAGAAAACAAAAATCTGTGAATCAGCTCTAAAGAATTCAAAAAGCAAGACCCTTGGCAACTGTGATGTAACGGCTGCCCCTGTACAACCATAAAAGCAGCAAGAGTGCAAGGTGGACGTGTTGAGTGCTTCTCTCTTTCTCAACTAACACAATCTGTTGTAATTTTTTTTTTTTATTGAATCAATTCACTAGACAATTCAGTGTTTGCTTGCATTATTATTTTCAGTATTGTTTTCTTTTCTTTTTCTTTTTTATTAATTTTTATGCTATGCTGCTCTGAGTGCAAAAAGAATGATTTATAAAACATTTTCCTTAAGTATGTGAAAAGAATATTTGTGCAATTATAAAAATGATCACATCTTAGTTACAGGGTATAATAAAGATTAAAATATCAAACAAGGTCACTACAACAATTGTCATTTGTTGTCAACAGTAAGCATCATGATATATTTTAGTCTTCACTTGGTTTTTTTTTTTTTTTTTTTTTTGTTTCCTTCCTTTTACAAAGTTACTACATGGACATTTACAAATTCTTGAAAGTGGGTAAATTAAGACTATTCTTTGAAATTTAAACAGAATAAATTACTCGCTGTGATAAATTTCTTGTGTTCAAAAATGTTGAATACTTTTCAACTAAAATTTTGTTTGATATTAAATTAAATTTTGTATCATAAAGTATTTCAAAATACATTTTTGTTAATACATCTTTTGACATTCATAGAGAATATAATGATTATGAAATTATCTAGTTTTCAATTTGTTTTGCTTACTTCCCTTCCCTTTACAACATCTTCTACATAGACACTTACAACAAGAAATACAAACTACCATGATACAAATAAAACTACTGAGTAGAAAAACCACCACATCAACTGAATAATACTGATACCAAGACATATGTGCAGAAGGTGAACGCAAATAGCTGCCGCCATGTTTGAGGACATGTTCAATCCAATAAGCTGCTTGCTGTTGTGGAGTCCATGGCTGATCACGATAAATAGCAGATAACTTCTTGGCTTTGGTGTAATATGAAGAATTCTCTATCATGGTGTTGATGTTTTCTATGAGGTCTTCTGGAGTGAAGTACAAGATATCCATCACCATAGCAACACCTCTGTGTTGCCCCCGGTAACCATTGTAAAACTGATCACCCATCAGAGGGAATCCCAACACTGGGATACCATGATACAGTGCTTCATATGAGCCCCCATTGCCACAGTGACTAACAAACAGTTTGGTGTTGGGATGGGCCAACAGGTCATTCTGTGGCAGCCATGGTAAGACTTTGACATGTGATGGCAGATTGAGTTTCTTGGAGCCAGTATACCTCCATATTACACCATATTTAATTTTTGAGAAAGCTGACAGCAATTTTTGAATTACTTGGTCAGGAATATACATGGCAAGAGACCCAAAGGTTACCACAACCACTCCATTTTTGTGTCCGTCCATAAAATTCTGCAGTTCATTTGGAAGAGGTTTTCCAGGCCGTGTCATCATACCCCCTGCAAAGATGGTATTTGGCAGTGCAAGCTGCGGATAATCAATGGACGGATGCTTACTTGTAATGATGAAAAGTTCAGAATCAGCAACCAACTGGTGAAATGGTTTCTGTATCACGTTTGGCAAATATTTTGCATAATAATCAGGTGAAATTTTGTGGGTGGTCATGATTGATATAAACCTATGTGTCATGAAGTTCACTGTGCGTTGCAAAAAGGTCATTTGGTCAGAATACTTTGTTATTGGGCTTGGAAGAAATGATGCTTGTTGTGGAACTCCACTCTCTGGAGGTCCTAAGACTGCTGATGTTACATATGGAATCTTATACTTGTAAGGAAACAAGTACGCTGTAGGAGCAAATGCGAAGGCATTGTTAACAATTATCATATCAGGTTTCAGTTTGGTCATTTTTCTGTCAAAATCCTCATCTGTTAATAGATCTCCAAAATAGCCATGCAAAATTTTTGTCCAGTTATTCACAAATGCTACACCTTTGATGGGAATGTATCTTTCTCTTGGGTTGTCAAAGAAGGCAAACACACCATTTTTCTGCACCTCTGGTTTTTCAAAGTCCATAAAGTCTGGTGATCTTACTTTAAAAGTGAGCAACTTTACCTTGCTGTCTATTACATTCTTAGGAAGAGGTGGCACAGAAGGATGTTCCCCCATGACTAAATACACCTCATGTCCCTTGTCTGCTAGCCCCACCAGAAGGGTATCAAGTTCTATAATCTGACTTTTCACTGGCATACAGATTCCAACAAATGTAGCACCTTCAGCAATATTGTGGATTGAAGTCAGGAATATGAGGACAAAAAGGACCATCCTTAACCTTAGTGCCTTCTCCATGGTCTTGCAAAATCAAGTTGTGAAATTAGCTGTAATATGTCAGATTGTCCACCTATCCTTCATGCGCTGTGGTCTAATCCTTCTGTTGTTGGCACACCTTTAATATGATATCGTCTCTGCATGCAGCAGAAGGGTCAATTTGTAGGACTAGGTCCTTCATCAGTTACAAACTAAACAGAGGAACCATTCTAAAATCATGAAAATGGATTAAGGCAGAATTTAGTGTTTTTATTTTTTGCTCATTACAACTGTTCAAGAACTGAGACAGTTTGATGTGCACAATGAAGCAAAAAAGTTAAAATGTGTTGTATTCTGAGGCTATTTATATGTAAGACTGACCCACATTACCTCGCTTTGCCAGATGATTATCTAACATTTGCTTAATGGCTTAGCACCCTTAAGTACATACTGTAACATGTACAAGGTGAATGTACGGGCAACAGCGAGTCTATAAATTCATTTCCCAAAATCACCCACAACAAAATTTTGAAAATAAAAATTGTTGTTGTGGGGGAGACAATGAAATTAATATTAATGTATTATATATGGGTAAATTCAAAGTTGATGCACAAACTTGTCTGCACTATCCCCATATAGCTACAATTCAATTCAATGCAACACAATATGAAGCAATCAATTTTATTTCAAGTCAGGTACAATAGAAATCTCAACATTATCTTTGCAGCTATTCACCAACAGAAAATGAAAAATATATATATATTTATGATACTACTTATACTAAAGTTTATAATAACAGGATTGGTACTACTAGTCACTATACTATGAACTATGGTTTTTAATCCAATTCACAAGTCTGGCTTCATATGTAAATACTGCTTGTGCTATTATTACATTGGTTCTTCCCATAGTTTAGTACCTGTGATAATTTTGCTCCATTGAAACTAATACTGTCAAAATTTCTTCATGATGTAAATTGTTCCAAATTATTGTCCTGAAATTAGATATTTTGTTTCCATTCTCTTCATAACTAATTGTGGCAAACAAAGTGATGTAAATAGATTTCCATTTTTCCTTAGTGTATAAGAAATATTTTTTTAAAGTGAAGATCAAAGATATGAAAAGGCACAAGCCCATTTATTGCCTTGTAGATTTCTGTATGTAGAATTTAAAATGTCACCTGTTCAGGTTCAAAGTGCTAAGGCATGATATATATATATATGTATGTTTTATGCCACACTGTCTTCTTACACTCTCTTGATTAGTAAACAAAATCCATGGAGTGATGTTTTTCCTGTTATTGATAATTAAGTTGCTATGTTGCTACTGTGTACATGAATTTTGGCTGCCTTAGCTAGTATAACCATAAAAGCAGTGAAGCATGCTCATCCTGTGAGGTAGATATGCTCAGTGTGTCTCCCAGTCTTACCTAATGCATTTTTTTTTATTTTGTCAAATGTTTATTTCCTTTGAAATATGACTTTTGTCAGAAACTTGAACAGAGGATGCCACTTGCTGATATAATTTTTTTTTTTTTTGCTAAATAAAAAATATTTGATTACAGTTTAGTCTGAAAATTTTGTTTAATGTCAAGTTTGATTTTGCGTTAAGAAATAATAATAACAATCGAAACATTTTAACAATCATAACAATAACAGTATAATGAAATTATTTAGTTTTAATTTTGTTTTGCTTGTTTCCCTCTCCTTTACAACATCTTCTACATAGACACTTACAACAAGAAATGAAAGCAACCACAATACAAGCAAAAATACTGAGCAGAAATACCACCACATCAACTGAATAATACTGATACCAAGACATATGTGCAGAAGGTGAGCGTAAATAGCTGCCGCCATGTTTGAGGACATGTTCAATCCAATAAGCTGCTTGCTGTTGTGGAGTCCATGGCTGATCACGATAAATAGCAGATAACTTCTTGGCTTTGGTGTAATATGAGGAATTCTCTATCATGGTGTTGATGTTTTCTATGAGCTCTTCTGGAGTGAAGTACAAGATATCCATCACCATAGCAACACCTCTGTGTTGCCCCCGGTAACCATTGTAAAACTGATCACCCATCAGAGGGAATCCCAACACTGGGATACCATGATACAGTGCTTCATATGAGCCCCCATTGCCACAGTGACTAACAAACAGTTTGGTGTTGGGATGGGCCAACAGGTCATTCTGTGGCAGCCATGGTAAAACTTTGACATGAGATGGCAGATTGAGTTTCTTGGAGCCAGTATACCTCCATATTACAGCATATTTAATTTTTGAGAAAGCTGACAGCAATTTTTGAATTACTTGGTCAGGAATATACATGGCAAGAGACCCAAAGGTTACCACAACCACTCCATTTTTGTGTCCGTCCATAAAATTCTGCAGTTCATTTGGAAGAGGTTTTCCAGGCCGTGTCATCATACCCCCTGCAAAGATGGTATTTGGCAGTGCAAGCTGCGGATAATCAATGGACGGATGCTTACTTGTAATGATGAAAAGTTCAGAATCAGCAACCAACTGGTGAAATGGTTTCTGTATCACGTTTGGCAAATATTTTGCATAATAATCAGGTGAAATTTTGTGGGTGGTCATGATTGATATAAACCTATGTGTCATGAAGTTCACTGTGCGTTGCAAAAAGGTCATTTGGTCAGAATACTTTGTTATTGGGCTTGGAAGAAATGATGCTTGTTGTGGAACTCCACTCTCTGGAGGTCCTAAGACTGCTGATGTTACATATGGAATCTTATACTTGTAAGGAAACAAGTACGCTGTAGGAGCAAATGCGAAGGCATTGTTAACAATTATCATATCAGGTTTCAGTTTGGTCATTTTTCTGTCAAAATCCTCATCTGTTAATAGATCTCCAAAATAGCCATGCAAAATTTTTGTCCAGTTATTCACAAATGCTACACCTTTGATGGGAATGTATCTTTCTCTTGGGTTGTCAAAGAAGGCAAACACACCATTTTTCTGCACCTCTGGTTTTTCAAAGTCCATAAAGTCTGGTGATCTTACTTTAAAAGTGAGCAACTTTACCTTGCTGTCTATTACATTCTTAGGAAGAGGTGGCACAGAAGGATGTTCCCCCATGACTATATACACCTCATGTCCCTTGTCTGCTAGCCCCACCAGAAGGGTATCAAGTTCTATAATCTGACTTTTCACTGGCATACAGATTCCAACAAATGTAGCACCTTCAGCAATATTGTGGATTGAAGTCAGGAATATGAGGACAAAAAGGACCATCCTTAACCTTAGTGCCTTCTCCATGGCCTTGCAAAATCAAGTTGTGAAATTAGCTGTAATATGTCAGATTGTCCACCTATCCTTCATGCGCTGTGGTCTAATCCTTCTGTTGTTGGCACACCTTTAATATGATATCGTCTCTGCATGCAGCAGAAGGGTCAATTTGTAGGACTAGGTCCTTCATCAATTACAAACTAAACAGAGGAACCATTCTAAAATCATGAAAATGGATTAAGGCAGAATTTAGTGTTTTTATTTTTTGCTCATTACAACTGTTCAAGAGCTGAGACAGTTTGATGTGCACAATGAAGCAAAAAAGTTAAAATGTGTTGTATTCTGAGGCTATTTATATGTAAGACTGACCCACATTACCTCGCTTTGCCAGATGATTATCTAACATTTGCTTAATGGCTTAGCACCCTTTTGTACATACTATAACATGTACAAGGTGAATGTACGGGACAACAGCGAGTCTATAAATTCATTTCCCCAAATCACCCACAACAAAATTTTGAAAATAAAAACTTTTGTTTTAGGGGAGACAATGAAATTAATATTAATGTATTATAGATGGGTAAATTCAAAGTTGATGCATTAACTTGTCTGCACTATCCCCATATAGCTACAATTCAATTCAGTGCAACACAATATGAAGCAATCAATTTTATTTCAAGTCCGGTACAATAGAAATCTCAACATTATCTTTGCAGCTATTCATCAACAGAAAATGAAAAAAATATATATATTTATGATACTACTTATACTAAAGTTTATAATAACAGGACTGGTACTACTAGTCACTTTACTATGAACTATGGTTTTTAATCCAATTCACAAGTCTGGCTTCATATGTAAATACTGCTTGTGCTGATATTACATTGGTTCTCCCCATACTTTAGTACCTGTGATAAGTTTACTCCATTGAAACTAATACTGTCAAAATTTCTTCATAATGTAAATTGTTCCAAATTTTTGTCCTGAGATTAGATATTTTGTTTCCATACTCTTCACAACTAATTGTGTCAAACAAAGTGATGTAAATTGATTTCCATTTTCCCTTAGTGTATAAGAATTTTTTTAAATGAAGATCAGAGATATGAAAAGGCACAAGCCCATTTATTGCCTTGTAGATTTCTGTATGTAGCAAAAATGTCACCTGTTCAGGTGCAGAGTGCTAAGGCCTGATATAGCAAACAAAATCCATGGAGTGATGTTTTTCCTATTATTGATAATTAAGGTGCTAAGATAAGAGTTTATTTAGCCAATTATAAAAATCGGAAATCATTTTCCATTGGAGCAATATACAGAGTAAAATAATAAAATAATAAATAAATAAATAAATTAAGAATTTAGCTTTGAGATCAAATTAAAATATCCTAGTATATGTTGCTACTGTGTACATGAATATTGGCTGCTTTAGCTAGTATATCCATAAAAGCAGTGAAGCATGCTCATCCTGTGAGGTAGATATGCTCAGTGTGTCTCCCAGTCTTACCTAATGCATTTTTTTTATTTTGTCAAATGTTTATTTCCTTTGAAATATGACTTTTGTCAGAAACTTGAACAGAGGATGCCACTTGCTGATATAAGTTTTTTTTTTTTTTTGTTTTTTTTTTTTTTTGCTAAATAAAAAAATATTTGATTACAGTTTAGTCTGAAAATTGTGTTTAATGTCAAGATTGATTTTGCATTAAGAAATAATAATAACAATCACAACATTTTAACATTAAAACAATAACAGTATAATGAAATTATTTAGTTTTAATTTTGTTTTGCTTGTTTCCCTCCCCTTTGCAACATCTTCTACATAGACACTTACAACAAGAAATGCAAGCAACCACAATACAAGCAAAAATACTGAGCAGAAAAACCACCACATCAACTGAATAATACTGATACCAAGACATATGTGCAGAAGGTGAACGTAAATAGCTGCCGCCATGTTTGAGGACATGTTCAATCCAATAAGCTGCTTGCTGTTGTGGAGTCCATGGCTGATCACGATAAATAGCAGATAACTTCTTGGCCTTGTCATAATATGAAGAATTCTCTATCATGGTGTTGATGTTTTCTTGGAGCTCTTCTGTAGTGAAGTACAAGATGTCCATCACAATAGCAACGCCTTTGTTTTGTCCTCGGTAACCATTGTAAAACTGGTCTCCTGACAAAGGGAGTCCCAATACTGGGATACCATGGTAGAGTGCTTCATACGAGCCTCCATTGCCACAGTGACTTATAAACAACTTGGTGTTGGGATGAGCCAACAGGTCATTCTGTGGCAGCCATGGTAAAACTTTGACATGTGATGGCAGATTGAGTTTCTTGGAGCCAGTATACCTCCATATTACACCATATTTAATTTTTGTGAAAGCCGACAGCAATTTTTGAATTACTTGATCAGGAATATACATGGCAAGAGACCCAAAGCTTACTACAACCACTCCATTTTTGTGCCCATCCATAAAATTCTGTAGTTCATTTGGAAGAGGTTTTCCAGGCCGTGTCATCATACCTCCTGCAAAGATGGTGTTTGGCAGTGCAAGCTGTGGATAATCAATGGATGGATGCTTACTTGTAACAATGAAAAGTTCAGAATCAGCAACCAGCTGGTGAAATGATTTCTGTGTCTCATTTGGCAAATATTTTGCATAATAATCGGGTGAAATTTTGTGGGTTGTCATGACGGATAGAAGAGTATGTGCCAGAAAGTTCACTGAGCGCTGCAAAAAGGTCATTTGGTCAGAATATGTTGTAAGAAATGATGGGAGAAATGATGCTTGTTGTGGAACTCCACTCTCTGGACTTACTAGGACGGCTGATGTCACATACGGAATCTTATATTTTATCGGAAACAAGTAGGCTGTTGGTGAAAATCCGACAGCATTGTGAAGTACCACCATGTCAGGTTTCAATTCTTTCATTTTTCTTTGAATATCTCCGTCAACTAAAAGATCTCCAAAGTAGTCCAGCATAAGTTTAGTCATGTAATTCATAAATCCTACAGTTTTAATGGGAATGTATCTTTCCCTTGGGTTGTCAAAGATGGCAAACACACCATTTTTTTGCAACTCTGGTTTTTCAAAGTCCATAAAGTCTGGTGACCTTGTTTTAAAAGTGAGCAACTTTACCTTGCTGTCTATTACATTATTGGGAAGAGGTGGCACAGAAGGATGCTCCCCCATGACTAAATACACCTCATGTCCTTTGTCTGCTAGTCCCACCAGAAGTGTATCAAGTTCTATAATCTGACTTTTCACTGGCATACAGATTCCAACAAATGTAGCACCTTCAGCAATATTGTGGATTGAAGTCAGGAATATGAAGGCAAAAAGGACCATCCTTAACCTTGGTGTCATCTCCATGGCCTTGCAAAATCAAGTTAGGAAATTAGCTATAGTGTACGTATCAGATTGTCCACCTAGCCTTAAGGCGCTGTGGTCTAATCCTTCTGTTGTTGGCACACCTTTAATATGATATCGTCTCTGCATGCAGCAGAAGGGTCAATTTGTAGGACTAGGTCCTTCATCAGTTACAAACTAAACAGAGGAACCACTCTTAAATCATATGTAAATGGATTAGGCAGAATTTAGTGTGTTTTTGTTTTTTGCTCATTACAACTGTTCAAGAACTGAGACAGTTTGATGTGCACAATGAAGCAAAAAAGTTAAAATGTGTTGTATTCTGAGGCTATTTATATGTAAGACTGACCCACATTACCTCGCTTTGCCAGATGATTATCTAACATTTGCTTAATGGCTTAGCACCCTTAAGTACATACTGTAACATGTACAAGGTGAATGTACGGGGCAACAGCGAGTCTATAAATTCATTTCCCAAAATCACCCACAACAAAATTTTGAAAATAAAAATTGTTGTTGTAGGGGAGACAATGAAATTAATATTAATGTATTATATATGGGTAAATTCAAAGTTGATGCACAAACTTGTCTGCACTATCCCCATATAGCTACAATTCAATTCAATGCAACACAATATGAAGCAATCAATTTTATTTCAAGTCAGGTACAATAGAAATCTCAACATTATCTTTGCAGCTATTCACCAACAGAAAATGAAAAAAATATATATATTTATGATACTACTTATACTAAAGTTTATAATAACAGGATTGGTACTACTAGTCACTATACTATGAACTATGGTTTTTAATCCAATTCACAAGTCTGGCTTCATATGTAAATCCTGCTTGTGCTGTTATTACATTGGTTCTTCCCATAGTTTAGTACCTGTGATAATTTTGCTCCATTGAAACTAATACTGTCAAAATTTCTTCATGATGTAAATTGTTCCAAATTTTTGTCCTGAAATTAGATATTTTGTTTCCATTCTCTTCATAACTAATTGTGGCAAACAAAGTGATGTAAATAGATTTCCATTTTTCCTTAGTGTATAAGAAATATTTTTTTTAAGTGAAGATCAAAGATATGAAAAGGCACAAGCCCATTTATTGCCTTGTAGATTTCTGTATGTAGAATTTAAAATGTCACCTGTTCAGGTGCAAAGTGCTAAGGCCTGATATATATATATATATATATATATGTATGTTTTATGCCACACTGTCTTCTTACACTCTCTTGATTAGTAAACAAAATCCATGGAGTGATGTTTTTCCTGTTATTGATAATTAAGGTGCGATGTTGCTACTGTGTACATGAATTTTGGCTGCCTTAGCTAGTATAACCATAAAAGCAGTGAAGCATGCTCATCCTGTGAGGTAGATATGCTCAGTGTGTCTCCCAGTCTTACCTAATGCATTTTTTTTTTATTTTGTCAAATGTTTATTTCCTTTGAAATATGACTTTTGTCAGAAACTTGAACAGAGGATGCCACTTGCTGATATAATTTTTTTTTTTTTTTTTGCTAAATAAAAAATATTTGACTACAGTTTAGTCTGAAAATTTTGTTTAATGTCAAGTTTGATTTTGCGTTAAGAAATAATAATAACAATTGAAACATTTTAACAATCATAACAATAACAGTATAATGAAATTATTTAGTTTTAATTTTGTTTTGCTTGTTTCCCTCTCCTTTACAACATCTTCTACATAGACACTTACAACAAGAAATGAAAGCAACCACAATACAAGCAAAAATACTGAGCAGAAATACCACCACATCAACTGAATAATACTGATACCAAGACATATGTGCAGAAGGTGAACGTAAATAGCTGCCGCCATGTTTGAGTACATGTTCAATCCAATAAGCTGCTTGCTGTTGTGGAGTCCATGGCTGATCACGATAAATAGCAGATAACTTCTTGGCCTTGTCATAATATGAAGAATTCTCTATCATGGTGTTGATGTTTTCTAGGAGCTCTTCTGTAGTGAAGTACAAGATGTCCATCACAATAGCAACGCCTTTGTTTTGTCCTCTGTGACCATTGTAAAACTGGTCTCCTCCCAAAGGGAGTCCCAACACTGGGATACCATGGTAGAGTGCTTCATACGAGCCTCCATTGCCACAGTGACTAACAAACAGTTTGGTGTTGGGATGAGCCAACAGGTCATTCTGTGGCAGCCATGGTAAAACTTTGACATGAGATGGCAGATTGAGTTTCTTGGAGCCAGTATACCTCCATATTACACCATATTTAATTTTTGTGAAAGCCGACAGCAATTTTTGAATTACTTGATCAGGAATATACATGGCAAGAGACCCAAAGCTTACTACAACCACTCCATTTTTGTGCCCATCCATAAAATTCTGTAGTTCATTTGGTAGAGGTTTTCCAGGCCGTGTCATCATACCTCCTGCAAAGATGGTGTTTGGCAGTGCAAGCTGTGGATAATCAATGGATGGATGCTTACTGGTAACAATGAAAAGTTCAGAATCAGCAACCAACTGGTGAAATGATTTCTGTGTCTCATTTGGCAAATATTTTGCATAATAATCGGGTGAAATTTTGTGGGTTGTCATGATGGATAGAAGAGTATGTGCCAGAAAGTTCACTGAGCGCTGCAAAAAGGTCATTTGGTCAGAATATGTTGTTAGAAATGATGGGAGAAATGATGCTTGTTGTGGAACTCCACTCTCTGGACTTACTAGGACGGCTGATGTCACATACGGAATCTTATATTTTATAGGAAACAAGTAGGCTGTTGGTGAAAATCCAACAGCATTGTGAAGTACCACCATGTCAGGTTTCAATTCTTTCATTTTTCTTTGAATATCTCCATCAATTAAAAGATCTCCAAAGTAGTCCAGCATAAGTTTAGTCATGTAATTCATAAATCCTACAGTTTTAATGGGAATGTATCTTTCCCTTGGGTTGTCAAAGATGGCAAACACACCATTTTTTTGCAACTCTGGTTTTTCAAAGTCCATAAAGTCTGGTGATCTTGTTTTAAAAGTGAGCAACTTTACCTTGCTGTCTATTACATTCTTGGGAAGAGGTGGCACAGAAGGATGCTCCCCCATGACTAAATACACCTCATGTCCCTTGTCTGCTAGTCCCACCAGAAGTGTATCAAGTTCTATAATCTGACTTTTCGCTGGTACACAGATTCCAACAAAAGTGGCACCCTCAGCAGTATTGTAGAGTGACATAAAATGTACTGCAAGGGTAAGCACCACTTTGAACCAAGCCTGTATATCCATAATCACTGCAGAAGGTAATCTGTAAATTTACTTTTATCTGACAGTTGCCCTGGCCTTTCTCGTATGCGAGATATTCAGTTCTGTTCTTTCTGTTGTTGACACACTCAACACTGTGCTAAGGCTGCTTTTATAACTGCTTCCAATAGGGAGGTCAATATATAGGACTAAATGGTGTGGCTGTCAGTTACGCACATGTAGAAATGCACAATGGAGCCTGAAGGTCATGCTATAGTTCCACTTCTCTTCTCTCTCACTGACCTTGATTAACATCCTATGTACCCCTGCCAGACCTCTTATCTTCTGTTTACAAATTAGTGCTAAGTACACAGGTACTAGCCAAATAATAGGTAAAGGGCTCATTGGGGGAGGGGGGCAGGGAAGGACCATTGCTTAGAGAATATATTATAATTATAAACAAGGCAGCAAAGTAGTCAAATGTACAGACAAAAAGCAGAAAAAAAAGATGCACAAAATAGCTAATTACAACTGTCAATTCTGATGCAAAAATACATAATGATTAACAGCAAAGTCAACATCAAGTTTTAATTATGCAAAACAGGTAGAATGGATATAAGCATAACTTTTTAAAAAATGTTCCAATCTGTGTGTTGTACATTAAAATAAAATAATAATAAACAAGAAATTTATGTTCACACGTGCTGTCTTTTAAGTGTTGGCACAGTGCCACACGTATTATGTCTTCGTGCATGATGTCTATATGACTTTGTTTACGTATAAATGCAATACGTGTAGGTTACAGCTGAGAGCTAGGTCAATAAATGGGACATCTATGCAATTAAGGTCACCGGATTTATTTATTTTTTTTTTTAGGGCATATTAGTGGAGTATATAGCCTGTGTTAGTAGAGATGTAATTCTACATGTAATTTTATTACAGTTAAAATTAGAGCACTGTTTAATTTTAAGAAATATATGCTATTGGCCCTGCTATATTGGAGGGAGATAAAATATATGCTATATTTACTGATTTGAAACTTAAGATGCAATATGAATGATAAGTTGCACAATTTATTAAAACTTTTTTTCAGCTTTTTAACAGATTATTCATCTGCTCTATATCAATGGGGTCCGGACCTCTACCCCACCCTTAACAAAACCCTTACTCTATTAGTGTGTATGGTAACAATCGCAATCTCATCTCTGTGCTGATTTTTATATTTTTTTGGAATTTGAAAGAAAACTATAGACACAAAGGAGTTGATAAGACAGAGACCATGATTTTATTCTTCACACCAAGGTTTATATAACATGTGTACAGAGCAAAGAGTGTTTTAAGTCTGGTTAGAGACATGTAGAACTTAACAATACTTAGGAGTGGAATAGAAACATACACAAAATGTGACTTGCTATTATTTTATCCTATAACATTCCTCCTCACTCAATGGTGCAACCTTAATCCTCTTTTAAATAAACTGATTTAATAAAAGTTTTTTTAATTGTAAATAGTGAATGCTTCTAAAGAAAATGTATAATAGTGAAAAAAACAAGTAATGATCGACTGATGGATGCTTCAGCAGCATCTTTTCTTCGGATGAGATAGTTTATACATCAATTCCCTGTTTTCAGGAGCTCATTGCAAAAGTCTGAAAACTCACAAATTCAAAACTATTCTACAATCTAACATTACTTCAGTTAGGGACATGTATCAAATACCATGTGAGGGCATCTTCATTAACTCACAGAAAAAGTACTCGCCCTCAATACAAATACTAATCAAAAAATTATTAGGTACTGAGTGACTCTAAGGAAGCTGAATACATGTCCAACGCAATACGTGCTCTACCAATCATCATTTAATATATATTTTCATGATGTTATTGTTAATTACAATAAATTTGCCAGGCCTTAAACATTACAAATATATGCATTGCAAAATGGTGAAAATCACACATACCCAGCTTGAAAAGTTCAAAAGCTGAAAAGGTATTATTTTGTAAAAGAAAAAAAATCACAGGGTTTGTTTTCTTTAATATTGTGTATGTATTCTATTAGCATTAAATGATTACAAAAGAAATTTCTTGAACTTTGTGATGTTATAACTGGAACAGGATTCCCAATGTACTACACACTCGCATAAATATATATATATATATATTTATATATAACAGAATAACTTCACACTCTGTTGGCCTTAAACAAACATATTTCAATCTTAATTAACAGATGTGTGTAAGTAATATTTAAACAAGCTCACAATATTCCAGCAAAACCTCAATATTTCAACATAGTATTAATACACTGTTATTAAATATGATTATATATAGAAGAAAGACACAAATATTGACCAGTGATCGATAACGGTGAGATCACCTGTTAGACTGGTCACGGAAACATCACTTGGAGTATTGTTATATAGATAATCATAAGACCACATCCCAAGTTCATGGGACATAAAAGTGGTAAAATTTCAATTTTAACACACACCACATAAATTGAGCTGACTGATACAAAAGTAATATGACAAAAAGCCTTCTTAACTTTAATGTCTCTTTTTCCTTTCTGATCATTATAACATCAGTAGATCAGAAATATTTTGCTGGCAGAACTGGATAAAAAATAAGTGAAAACCTAACAACTGAAAGATTTTAGTTATTGTCCAAACTTTCTTTAAAAAAAAACAAAAAAATATACTTTAGCACAATATACTTTAGCACAATGCGATAAGTGAAGGAAGAAATTTTGCTTCTTTTAAAAGTATTGCCCTTTGACTGATTTTCAAGTCTGTTGATAAAACTTATTTTCTCTCATTGAAGGCTTTCACAGCATTTGTCTTTCTCTTTCTCTCATATATTAGCCAGTATTTTCTCTTCGTTCATTTTTTTTTTCATGTCAACATGTTCAATATAGAATGTGGCCAAAAGTAGATGAGGTGTCATAGGATGCCTTATGCTCCAAGCAATTTCCATTTGTTGCAATCTTTTCATCATGAAATGCTACATATTTTGAGTATTCCCTCAGAGTTATGTTAAGAATAATGTCAGATGATATCTCAAAGTCCATAAATGATTTCCCCTCCTAACATTGCCAGTATATGAAGTGCTGGGCCAGACATTCCCCCAAATGACTCGATCATATCCAAGCAATTCAGATAGTTTCCAGGTAATGCAGATTTCATCCAAGTGATTCAGGTTCACTGATGATCCAGATTTCTGAACATGATTAATGGAAATGCAGTCCAGATCTTGAATTATTTTCTCTCGTGTGCTCATGGCCGTTGCTCCTGCCTTTCATCATGTAATGATGGTTTCATACATATACATTAGTTCAACAGCCAAGTGTTGTTGTTTTTTTTTTCTACCATGGAAAAGAGCACTGTAAAAGAGTGGTATATTCAACCCTTAATCCTACATTAATATAATCTTACTGGACTTGTGCATCTTGCTTAAACTGGTGGCATTTTTCTAAAGATGGCAACTTAGAATATTACAATGAAATTGTACTTGAGCTCAGAGCTGTATTTTGTCCAATAATTCTGATGGTATCATTACAAAAACCATGTAGTGATCTCAGAAAAAAACCTAGAAGAGCAGCCATACTGGAATGGTTTGGGATTTAGGGTTTGGGATTTAGAGTTACGTGCGGAATATTCTGAGAGTTTTTGCTGCTTATGCATTACAGGAAATTTGACTAAAAACTGTGAGGGACACAAATTATGTGCAAATTTTTTTTAATGCAAAAGTAATGATAATTATAATCTTTGCACCGTTTGTTTACAATTTCATGCTTTTCCCCTTGTTCTTAAATGTATCAATCAGGATTGTACTTGGCCTAGCAGTTTGTGCTGTAAGAATTTTTGCCATCACTTCCTGACACAATCACAAAGCAGGCTCCCCACTGGTTTCCTTTCATTTTTTTTTTAATGATGTGCTGTTGTTCTGCATTGATTAAACCTATGACATTCACAAAATAGCTTGCTGTCATTTGTTACTGAAGCTTATCACATGTGGTGCTTCATGAAGTAATTGTCAATAATGATGGGTCAGTCATGATTACTATGGTTACCAAGACCAGAGCAATTCTGAGCTTCTGTGTATATGATGTTTGTTTTTGTCTATACACAGTACTCTTATTTTTCTTCTTCTAGATGGGGCACACTTCCTTCTTGCTTGGTTATGTGAAAGCATGAAATGGGACATATTTGTTTTTGTTTTTAAGTTCATTTTCGTTCGGCTTGCTTGTGTTTCTTCTCTCATTGAGCCTTGAAAAAAACTGATTGTTTGTTGACATTTTCCAGCTGAAAGCTCCGACAGGCTGAGTTTTCTCCCCAAAATCCGAGAAGAGATGCTGCAGATTCAAGACCTCAGAACTCAGATGCTCTCAGGTCAGAAGGTTGAAAAACATTGTTGCCAAGGAAACATTAACAGCTATTACCAACATCATCAGCTGACGTTGTTGACACCAATCCTGAAAAATAACAAATTTAAAGATAAATAATGTAGGATAAGTATACAAAAACCGGCAGAAAATAATACATAAACAAACAAATAAATACCCAGTAAATATACAGTGCACTTAATATTACTTAATATTCTTGAAATATTTGACATATATATGTTGAACAAGAAGAAGGTTAATGAAATAATCTACAATAAATATTATTAAATCACATATTGCAAGAAACTGCTTTTAATATATATTCAGTGGGCTGTGTTCCCCCCTCTTTGGTATGGAGGCACTCTCTTCTTTGCCCTCTCCTGTCCAAAAAAACTTAATGTCAATCAAAATGAGACCAGCTCAGACCAAGTGATTTTTGCATCCCTTTGCCTGTATTACAGTGAAATTATTTTTGTCCGTCGCTTTATATTTGCCCAGCAAAGTGAGGCTAAACTAATTTTTACTTGTGTTCCCACCCCTTTACAAAAAACTAAGATCCACCAGTGCAAATGACAATAAAGTTCAAGGCAATATATATACCACCCAAAGACAGCTGAAATTAAACATTTCATAAGCTTGAACACACATTCCTGACACTCCCTAGGTATAATTATTTCAAGCATCTTTTCACCACACCTGTTCAACTGTATTTACAAAAAACACTGAGTATGCTTTTTCCTCCCAGTCTGATTTATTTATGAGTTGCCCTGTTACAGCAAGAAGTGTCAAGAGTTTCTTTCAGTACCCAACTGCATGAGTTCTCCTCACCCCTTCCAGCAGTCCAATTTATCAAATATGCCTAATGTTGTAACTTCCTGATATCTTAAATTACACACTTCAAACACTCTGAAAATATTTTTTTCTTTTTTTCTTTTTTTTTTTTTTTTCTTGTTCTTACACCTCCAGGCCATATCTATCAGTTTCAGATATGTTCACTAGTCTGTGATCACTGCCTATTTTAGTAAGCACAACTAGCTCCGACATCATCCCTCAATATTATACCAAACAAGCAGTGAGTCTGCCATTATTATGTTTTCAGCTTTAACTCATTCATTATTGCATACAGGGCTGAGTTGGGAAGCTCCAATAGCCCACCTGCCTTCTCTTAACCCTCTATTTTCAATCCTAACCCTCCTCAAGATAGAACTCTGTTTTACCAAAAATGGTGGCCGCGTAGACTAGAAGGCATGTCTGTGCAGTTGGGGTTCTATATTCACCACAAGGAGGATGGGTATTTTTGTTCCTTCATGAGTATGGCCACATCATGTTGGTATAAGGCTGTAAGGGGCAGCAGGTGGGAGGAAAAACACCAGGAAGCATAAGGTCAGGTGGGCAGACTACTCTCAGGTCATATTGGTCGCCTCCAGGATCCAGGAGTGCTACATATATCTGGAGAGAGCCAAATATTCAAAACAGCACGATGCATGGGTTCCTGAATTTAATGACTCTGGTAAAACCTTGGCTCAATCCAGTATATTCGAAACTTTCAAGTAGATTTTCAGGTTATTTTGGTATATTATAGGAGTGCTAGCACCTGCTGGCAGACTTTCTCTGATACACCACGTTACCAACAGAATAAAATGCCAACACACAAGGAGGTTTTAGCGTGCCTTTTCTAGGAACTAATCTTTCACTCCCTGTCTGTCTGTATCCTGCAGAATTATAAAAATATTGCTTTATCACTTCTAAAAAATAAGGGTGGTTATGTTTGCATTAGTATTGATTTGTCTTTTTGTTGGTGGACAATGTATCTGTTTACAAATTTTGATGAATTTTTTCAGGATAAACAGCTATTTTGGTGGGATAGAAGTGATTACAATTTCAACTGAATCCCATCCCCTTCTATATTTTCAAAAGAATTCTCAATTGACCTTTTCCTTGGTGGAGGACTAGCTGGACTCTCGGAGTGCTTCCTAACTTTTAAATAAGTTCTGATTTCATCTGGAGGGACCATTTTATCCATTTAACTAAATGAAGTACTGAAATGCGACTCTTGTCACTCTTCAGTCATATCCCAGTTTAAATTGCAAACTGTACAACAACATGGCAGCCTGCCTATACACTGGACAGGTGCATGACAATAGTACAGAGGATTTTCACTCTAAAACCTTCAGACCTATATGTGCCCTTTTATAAAAAAAAAGATAAAATGTAATGATTTTTCAGATCAATGAACCTCGGACTAACAAGACGCACCCGTGCTGGACATGGCTGCTTAGGTTATACAGAAAGCAATTCCTGACAGACTGTTTAGACATCAATTAGTTAACTCATTTCCTCTGGATAACTTGGCTTAAAGGTTGCCTGTTAATAGGGAATAACTTAATTATGATTAAGTGGTAGGTGTTGACGGGGGCGATGACGGGGGCAGTGACGGAGCAGAGCCAGACTCTTACCTATCACTGTAAGCAAGGTTAATTAATGTCCCCCGAGGCCTGCTAATGCCATTTTGCCATAGAAGTTAAAGTAATAGTTATTCATTATTAAGATAAGAACCAAAATAGTTGATGTCTATCTGTCCTTTGGTTTTTTGATGATTTCAACTAGATAAGCACAGACAAAGAGTGCAGACCTTCGCTAAGGCCATTCAGTTCTTATTATTAATTAATCAATCAATTTATGGATCACCAACAAAATCTACTTAATTCTCTGTTAGCCCATTTCCACCCTATACATAGAGGCTCCCTACCTATGTGTGCTTGCTCTGGAACACATGCAAACGAAGCCTGTGCAGTGCTGCATTTTACCAATATAAATAGGGCACCATTCCTGACATTTCCTGAACATTTTATCAAAATTCTTTCTTAACTTCTTTTTAGGCTGTTAACTAACAAGCCAGCAAAGGCTATGGCTTATTTGCCTCCCTGACAGAAGCAAAAAATGCAAAACTTGGGTTGGGAGGAACTCGATCTACACTGACTGAGGTTCAAAAGTGACCAGACAAGCTAACCCAGCTACTGGGTGGGGGGAGAGGTAGTTCCCAATGGCTAGCTTTATCTGTCAAATAGATATGGAAAATTTACAGATGAGACAAGTGCCCCGTTTGTCTTAAACAGGTAGCCATATTTTTTTTAAATATTACTAGTACCAATCTACTAAAGAGACCAGATTTATTGTGCAACCTAAATTTAGGAATTTCTAATTGGACAAGCCTTCCCCATAGGGTCTCAGAATTGACATTTCAGTTAATTTATCTTAGAATGATAAAGGTTACTTGTGAAACTTGGTCCAGGTGAACTCATAGATTCAAGGTGAATGACCTCTAAGACCATTTAAGTCATCATTGAATGACAAACCAGTGTGCTAATCTTAGTCCATTAAGTGTAGATTATACTATTTGTGATAATTAATTGATCTCAGTAAATTCCTGTGAATGAAAAAATGTAACAATAATTATAATACCACAAAGAAGCATAATAACTTTCAGTTTTTTCAACAGGGTTTGCGGTAAAGCAAAACTGCAGGAGTATTACTTTTCATAGTTCTTAAAAAACTGAAGTGAAGCAAAAATTGCTGGGGTTTTAACATTTGAAGTGCTTTATAAAAAACACTGATGGGTCTAGTTTGTATTTTTAACTTGCCTTTTCTATAATTTACATTATACATACGAAGGATGGAAAAAACTGCCAAATAATACTTCAAGTAGTTTTAGGTGAAGAAATAATGTGGTACGTTATTTTGAGTGTTCAAAAAAAAAAAAAAACAACAAATGAGGCACATCAAATTAAGAACTGAAATAGCACTTACGCAGTCAAGTGTTACTTAGTGATGAGAGCTTAATGAACATGTCTGAGACTTAATGCATCTAGAATTACCTAATCAGCTAGCCACTTAACAGGAAAAAACAGAGAAAGAGATTTACCAGTCCCTTAAGTTAACTTTGAACAAGACTGAACTACAGGTATGTCTAGAAGTGGCTTATTTACAGTTGGTGTAAGCTACTTACACATTAGAGTACCACTGAAGTATATGGTACCAGTTTAAATAATCCCCCCCCTCCCCCCGTACACACACCACTTTAAATACCGCTATTTCTACATTTTTTCTCTCTCTCTCTCTCTCTCTCTCTCTGCCCACTGTACTTGTACTTGTTATGCCATGTTGATGTTAGACATAAACTTCATGAAAAAGGTAGATCTACATATATCAAGTACTATTTATTGCAATTTTTTTCAATGTTTGATCAGTATTTTAATACATTTCATGGGCTCTTTAATGTCATTATTTTTCAAATTTTAATCATTTTTGTGGGGGCATTATTATTATTATTATTATTATTATTATTATTATTATTATTTAACTCCTTTATGTTTTATCTATGGGGCTTATTTTAATCCTGTGTAGAAGATAATAAAAACAACCACAGATCATCCGATTAAATTGAAATAACACCTGGCTTACGTAGCTCACACAGGTAAATTACATAAATCACAGGTGAATGAGTACTATTTAATAACAGTATATAATATGTGTCTTAAATACTGACTGACTTCAGTTGCCATCAGGCTACCCAATATAATATGAATGATTTGTGTGAAAGCATTTTACTTTCATATGTTTAAAGAAAATAGGAAACATTTAAATATTTTGCACCAATACTTTATTGCTTGGGCACAATCTTACTGACCTAAAATATGCTAAATGTACTATTTGTGTTTGAATGATTTCAATAACATGTGTAACTCAAAACTCAATAAAATGCTCATATTGTTCAGTTTTTTGGTCAGTCTCCTTTAATATCTATGTGATGTACTTACTTGTTTATACTGTCTGAGAAGTAATTTAAACAACATTAATATTAAATGCATGTGTTTAATATACAAAGTTCAGTATATAAACAGTTTATTCTATCCAAGATTGGTTTTAATGGGATTGATCTATAAAAATCTTTTTGCAGGAAATCTTGTTTATGCCATTTGAATTAATCGATATTGAATCACTGGAGGCAAAGGTTATATAATACACTTTTTCCACTCTCCTTACATGATCATAATTATATACTAAAAATTTAAGCCCAAAAAGATAATGTGTCTTGCTCATCAATTTGTACTCATTTTTACATAAAAAATTATATTTATTAACAATGCAGTTTTCTTCACATTTTCTCAATAAGTCAATCACGTGACAACTTATTGGGTTTAATCTTAATGATTTTATGCTCATTTCAACAAATAAATATATAAGTAATTAAAAAGAAAAGAACAGAATCAAAACCAATTGACAATATAAGTTTTGTACTTGAGATATTTTAGTATTTTACTCAGACAACCGATATAACATTGTCAAAATTTATGAAAAAAAATCACGGTTCCAAGGAAGGTGATAGGGACACTCAGCTTTCAGATGACTTTCATGAAAATCCAAAATGAGGTTCACAAACAAACTGTACTGTATCAACTGAATTCATGTGAAGTCCCCAATAACTCTGAGAGAATTGAGTCTTTGATATCATTTTTAAAATGTGAAAAAATATTGACAGTATCAGTAGTCATCAAATTATGAAAATATTACAATTTAAATTAACAATGGGATTGGGGGGAAATGTGTGATATTTTAATATTAATCTAGGGGAGTAGAAGTCCTATATTCACTGTTCAGAGTCAGTTTCATAATATTAAATAACACACTATAAACACTGTGACACTGAGGAAATTAGGCCATGACACAAAGTGGCACAATAAGTCAGTGATTGACCAGTGTTTTTGAAACCACTCTCTTTAGGTAAAATGGATTCTTATTTTCACCTATAATTAAGCATACCTGTGGTCTTACGTGGGTTTATAATATCAGAAACTTCAGAGCTTCCAAACCAAAGTGGAAATGATCACTGCTATCACTAAAACACCAGGTGTGCCTTAATGAAACTTCACTGGCAATGTTTCCAGGTAATTATTGGTAAAATATAGGCACTGAACAGGTGTTTTTCTTCAAGGAAAGGATTTTTTATTTGCTATGCATTCATTAGCAGTATTTAATAAATCAAATGTTTAGATAGAGCTGGAGTTATCTGATCGACCCACTTGGAATTTCCTGGTTGGTTTTCTAGGATTATTTTGTTTGTGTATTTCTGATAACCAGGATATATATTTTTCCAAAGGACTTATCCATTTTAATTTTAGTACTATGTTCTCTTATGTCCAATAATTGGCTGAAGGGCAGGGATTAAGCAAAATGTTTTTTTGCATAGCATGACTTCATGTACAAAATTATGCATGAATCTGCAAGCCCTACCTTAACATGTAGCCAAAAAAAAAAAAAAAAAAAAAAAATTATTGGAAATTTCAACATTTTTCTTATTCACCAAGGTACACCATATCTAAAACCAATGAGAAAAACCACAATCTTAAATGGGTTTATAGACCCTAGGCTAAGTTAATGTTTAAAATAGTTTGGGCGTGATAAAGGGAAAATTGCAAAAATTTCTTTTTTAATATTTTTCTGCTATATAAAGTTCTAAAATCCACTGTAAAGCTTTAATTTTAAAGATATTCATACATTATGAAGTATATCCTTACCTTTACNAAAAAAAAAAAGAAGAAGAAGAAGAAAGAAAGAAAAAAAATTATTGGAAATTTCAACATTTTTTCTTATTCACCAAGGTACAACATATCTAAAACCAATGAGAAAACCACAATCTTAAATGGGTTTATAGACCCTAGGCTAAGTTAATGTTTAAAATAGTTTGGGCGTGATAAAGGGAAAATTGCAAAAATTTCTTTTTTAATATTTTTTCTGCTATATAAAGTTCTAAAATCCACTGTAAAGCTTTAATTTTAAAGATATTCATACATTATGAAGTATATCCTTACCTTTACATCAGCGAGGTTGAGCACCAATTCCTGTTCTTTCCTTCTAGCTAATGCATCCCTTTCCCTGACTAACTCCTCTCGTCGAAGATTACTCAGTTTTGCAGCTTCTCGCCGTGGCATCACATCCTTTAAAAGTTCTTGACACTCTGTTACATCTGGTAAACTTCCTCGGTTTCCTTTCCTTCCTTTCGGAGACTGGCTGTCTAAGGTGTATCTCTTTGGCAGCACTGCCTCCATACTGTCCTGAACACTGCTTCCTGTGGCCTGGACCTCTGCACAGACACGTTTTCGTATCCCATTCTCTATGATGTACGTCTCTGATTTATCTGGGGTTAGGCTCTCTGAGCTGAGGTGTATACTGTTGTCTGTGGTGGGGGATTTCTTGGTTTTCTCTCCTCCCTTGCGAATAATACATGGTAAAGACGTCCGGCGCTGTAGAGGACGGGGATGTTTAGCCTCATCAGAATCGAAGCTGTCCGAGACCCCAGAGTCTGGAGTGTCACTTGTATGGCTGGTCTGGTGATCATAGATCTCCTTGCCCAGACCAGAATCTGTCTGATTAGTAGTCCTGTACTGATCAAAGTGATCATTCATTAAGGATGACTGTGTTAAGTCATTATAATGACTGTACCTGGGTGAAGGCTGCATGCCAGGCTGACCATTATTACGAGCCACATTTTCACGATATCGAACATGAGGATGTTCTGTTAATCTTTCACCACCCCCTCCATTCCCCATAGCAGGTCCTGGGGGCTGTGCCTGACTTTGATATGACATTGTCATTGGTTGAATAGGTTCACGAACTTGAGGAATCATAGGGGGTGCTGGTGCACCATGTCCCAACCCACTTCCTGCACCACCGTTTTCATGGCGATGGTTTCCCAATTTGCCAGCCCCTCCAACCAACGCACAGTCTAGGGCTGAGGAAAGGGCCGAGAATGTCGCCCCACCATCTGAGCTACCTTTCCGCCCCAGAGGTGGTGTGCTTTTTGGACTTCGGTCCATGAGGGATTTGGAGCGTTGGTGAGGGTTGTGGTTATGAGCCACTGGGGTAAGGTATCCCATATCAACCTTGCCATCATTCTCTTGCAATTTCTTTTTTAAAATGTCTGTGCCTGGTGGAAAAGATGAAAAATATGAAAAAATATGCATTAGCGAGATATAGATTTACAGAAAAATACAGGATACACAAATTGCTTAGATCTCTGGCCCCTTCTCAGTATTTGTCTCTATTAGTAAGCAAAACAAGTCTGATGCTTATCTTATTAATACTTATTTGATATGATTCAATTTTAACTAATGTTCATGTGTTGTCAATCTTTGTAGATAAACAAAGTTATCTTCACTCTTACCATTTCTCAAACAGAGTCTTATAATACTGGCAATGTGCTTTCTCTCTAAACCTTCTTGTTGCTTTATGTCATGAGTTAATGGATATGTGAGTTACAAATTTTCGGACAATCCTCAATTGTTCATTATTTATAAATTGGCAGTTTTGATTTTACCATGTAGCCCCCCCCCCCACACACACACACACACACACACACATCTTTCTCTCTCTCTCTCTCT